AACTTAATATATACATTAAAATTTTGTAATTGTTTTAATTCAACAATTTCATCGTTAAAATATTAAATTTGTGATTGCAGACAGTTTTATTGAAATTATAAAGACCTTATCCCAAAATATCTAATTTATTTGTTATACATGAATCTTAAGATTGAATACAAGACCACATATTTAAAGAATTCACATGTCTTCTACTTAAATCAACAGGCATTACAAATTTCGTAATTGATTGTTATGCTTGATCATGAAACATTATCGTATTAATTAGTGTGCCTTTACCAATTGGACTCAGAACACTCCTTTACAATTTTTTTTTCATGAGTGGATATATAAGGTGCTGGAATCTTATCAATTTTCTTAGTTATAATTACAAAAGTATATTATCCTTGGAAGTCTACTGCTTTCTGGAGGTTGCATAGAACCTTTCTTAAACGGGCCAACATTTGGACCAAAGTTCACTGGGCCCAGAGGCACAAAAAGTTGTAAAGAAATTAAGTTATACGTAATTTAGTTGTAAAGTGATACGACACGAAATATTTAGGTTCATGATATATACACCTCCTTTTTTCTATAGGTACATCTCCTTTCTAAAAAAATAATTAAAATTTTAAAATATTCTTAAATTTTATTATTATTTTTTTAATTTTACATCTACGACATTTAATTTAGTAAAAAAAATTTCATACATCTATTTTCCTTTTTTCAATTTTTACATGCACCCTCTTACATTTCTTTCACCTCACCTATTTTAGTAGCATGTGAAAATTAAAAGAAAAAAAAGTGTGTGAATAAAAGAAAAAAGTAACAAATTAAAAGTTAAAGGTATAAAATTATAAAATTTATAACAAAAAACTATAATATTTTATAATTTTTAAAAAAAGTATAAAGGAGGTGTACTTATAAAAACAGGAGGTGTATATATCATGAGCCAAATATTTAAGGTTGTGCTATTTCAAACCCAAACGATTTGCTGACTTACTAGGCTACGTGGTCCTGTCGGAGTGTGTTTATGCTAGATTCTTGTTGGGTCCTGTTGGGCCAGCAATAGGGAGGTTCCGCTAGAGTGAGAGAAGGCCCATCATATCCAATTTAGAACACCATTAGAAAAACACACTTTCACATATGAATGAATTACTAACATTGATATTTCTATATACGTTCATTATTTTACACTATATTATTTCTAATCAAATCAAATGTGTTATAAATATAGTAAAAATTAATTTTTTTAAAAAAATTAATTTTATATTATTTTTTAGTTGTTCATGAGATATATTTTCACATTATTTTCATTATATTTATAGCTAGGGTTATAAGTTTCAAGTTTTAAATTAGTCAAAAATTGATTCAAAATTATATCTCAAATTGAACATTTTAATAAATAAAGGACTAAAGTGAATCTAAAAATAAGATAAAAGATTAAAAGTATAATTTAGTTTTTTTTAATTTTATCTTTAAGGTGATTTTATTTATATTTTTTTTCAAACAAAGCTATGAAATCATATTGAGTCAACAAATAATAATAGAAAACACAAAGAGTAACCATTGTAACAACCTGAACACATAGGAATGAGAGATTCAAATATTTGTACAAATGTGAGAGTACATGGTTATAACCTAAAATAATTAATTTGTATTACTTATACCAATAAGAAACATTTACTTTTACACAATTCATCACTTAAGAATTTCATAGTTAAACTTGTTTGAGTTAGAGCGATTTAAGATAGGTGAATTTTTAAGAAATTTCCTGAAAAGCGTGAGAATAAAAACAAAATATATTGAAAAGTAGAGAATAAAATAACTTTTACTTTTTTTAATTAACTGATAAGTTTATTTGACCATATCAAGATATTTTAGTAACAACTTACAAACTTAAAAATTTATAATTTATTTTTCTTCTATTGTTTTTTATTTATACTATTTTAATACAGTTCCTTTTTTCGCCTCTCATGGATAAAAAATAATTTAAGATAGCAAAAACAATTAAAAGAAAAACAAAACAATTAATTATTTTGGTAATTATCGCATCCTATTAAGCTATTATATGATGAGTCCAGAGAAACAAATGAAATTTGGTTTAAAGTAGTCAAATACATAGAGCTGGGGTTAATCGTTTCATTATTTTTGTAACACTAACATAGCAAGACTTTTTCTATATAGTCCTCTGCTAAGTCTATAAATTAAAATTAAGATGACCCATCCCACTTTCTATATACACTCGTAAAACACATCAGACGCAGATAAGTGTAAAAGTGAATCGATTAAAACGTGTGAATGATCGATCAGCAGCCACGGTTATCTATATTATAACAACATGTACGTAGTTACATAAGATTTTTTGTCCCCTTTCATCTCTTCTTAATATGTTATGTTATCGATCCTCTCTTTCCATTTCTTCTTCAACTTAATCCTTATCAAATGATTTGGCATATATATATCATTGTCTCTTAGGCTACCACATACAAATTATTAGTCTATTCCTAGGGGCCTAGCCCAATTAAACAGCGGAATTATGGATTTTTCACCAATTAATTTATCTTTATCTATATCTATTAACTAAGAGAGAGTTTAATTTGCTGTTTGCTTCTATCCGCACAAGTCAGTTTCAACCATATCGATATCCTTATTAATTATTCCTCAAGTTTATATATATGTAGCTCGGTTATTAAAGTTTCCTTGCCTGTCTTTTGTGGAATTGCATTTCAAGACAACAATTTGCCAAATATTTTAGAGCATGTATCAAGGTATGTATATATATATAGATGATTCTTCTACAGGTATTGTTTGTCTGAATGCATGTTTTTTCTTGAAAAGGGTCTGAATGCATGACATTGCCACCTAATACAATCTGGGCTTCAAATCCATGATATCTGATTTTCGACATGTTCAACATCAACTTACTTTCAATTCATTGTTTTGTTATAGAAAAATAATACATAGATAGACACATTTTGGTTGATTCGGTCTAATATGTCTGTCTACAATACAATACTCCATTAATTGCATGCTTGGGAGTTGAGACATGTCACATGTGCCTGTTTTGGGATTTATGTATCGAATATGATATGATGTTATGCAATATACGCATATATATAACTCGCATTAATAAACCAAAGAAAAGGACATGTGTTGAAAAAGAAAACATGCATGTGAAATATATAATGTAATTAATAATAATCCATATATATTGTACCAAAATCCATATTATTCCTAATTAAATTTTGTTGAGTAAAATCCCTTCCTCCGACACCCTTTATATCAAGTTCGTTGACTAAGCCAATTCATGGTATATTGATTATGATGCAAGCAGTGTCTTTTGGTTCATGAGTGCTAATTATCAGAACGCACAATATTATAGTTCACCTAATGACACCCATTTAAAGCAAAGAGACCGGATAATGATTAATTATGCCGTAGCAGATAACTATACAATAAAAATTAATTTATCTCTTTTATGTTCGTGACATCAACTGCCATAGCCGACTATTATTATACTCCAGATAATTACAGAAGCAATTGTCAATGACATCAACGACCACTCATTATAATTGGAAACGAACTAGGTTCATTTCAAAAGTTGTTTTTAGTTTTTAATCATATCTATAACTTTGGTCCTTCAAAGTTTTCAGCTAATGCCACGAAAAGAAAAGCCTTTTTGATAAGTGCATGTTTAGTAATGATATTTTGAAATGAAGGTCAGAGCACATAATTAAACTAACTCATCTGAATAATTGTGCCGCGTTGGCTTTATTTAAAAACTGTTTTGGTGTTTCCACGCCCAATCCAATGCCTAAAATGTGCTCTAATGGGATATGACCACTCCATTTCTTTATCTCTCTTTCTATATTTCATATTTCATATTTCATATTTCATATTCCATAACCGTTTGTCCCTTCAGCTAACTCCACTTTACCGAATTTGCCATCCAATTACTTTGTTTCACCTCACCAAAATGGGCCATACCACACATTATATTAATTAAGCTGCTAAATGTTACTAATTCTTTTTAAATAAATAGATAATATGCACTAACACTGAAAAATCGTTTTACATTATTATTCAATTACAAATAACTATTTATGATTATTTTTATAATAAATAAGTAAAAAAATTATACTAACGATGATACTTAATCAATTAATGCAATATTATTAAATTTTTCTTTTTTATTGAATAGTTGTAAATTCTTCTCGATCAGAAGATAAAGATTAATTTCTTCATTAAATTTTTCTTAAGGGATTGATATATTCAAGAAAAATTAAGTTCTTTAAACATAAACCAAAATATCAAGATCATCATCACATATTTAAGAGGTGTGATTATTCATTGCCAACCACGGTTTTAACATATTAATGTTTTTTTTTTATTATCAAACATTCCATATTAATGTTAATGAATGTTCTGAAAAATAATGCTCAAAGAAACAAAGTTATCAAGTATTTGACGGAAAAGTATTTATTGTATTAAAAATGTATTGTTAGTGCTTATTTTTTAAACAATGAAAACCATGAATCGTGTTTCTGACACATTCATTTATGTAAAAATCATAGTAAGAAAGTTTGAGAGGACAGATGACTTTTCATTAAAAATGTTAAGAGTGGAAGGAAAAGCTTTTTAACTTTGTAGTACCATCATGACTGATAATTTTCATGCTTTCACATGTGTTCTACGATAACTGTTACGTTTCCAATTAGATTAAATTTAATCCTAGAAAGGTGGATTAGTGCTCGATCCACATATAGCATGATTGTAACATCCAAAACAAAGATATAAATAAGATAGTATATATAGTGTAGTACATAAGATGAAACTGACATGGTTAACTAATCCGGGGTTTTAATCCACATATTTTTGTTGTTGTTGCCGATATTAATTAATCATCAATTATAATAAGTCGTTCTTTCCACGAGTGCCATTATATTGAATTGAATTATCTCCAAAAGGTGGTTCAAAGAAACTGCCAAGTTGGTAGGGCCAGGTAGGCATATAAATAAGTAGCACAAGACCATTTCTAATTCCACAGACGCACACAACACAACACAACACAACTTGTTCTCTCAAACACAACAATGGCCAAGGTTTACCCTCAGGAACCCTCATCTCCTCAGTGTCTCACATCTGAAAGAGAAACATACACTCTATGGTTGAAATCACTTGTCTTCCACTCCAATGGATGCACAGTTTACGACTCAAATGGTGACATCGTTTATCGAGTTGATAACTACGACAGAAAGGGTAGAAGAGAAGTTAACCTCATGGATCTACGAGGCAAAGTTCTCTGCACCATAAAGAAGGTACAAGCTAGTTAAATGCTACATCAAATATATGCTAATAATGGCTTAACCAAGCCATTGTATTGTATATATGACTTGATCATAGGATGATGATGATTATTGATTTCAATTAATTAACCTCTTGCTTTTAACTAAATTATGCAGAGATTACTAGCTTTTGGATGTTGGGATGGCCACAGATGCATCAATTCTAATTTTGGTAGCCAGGAACAACCATGGTTTCGAGTTAAAAGATGCAATCAAATGATCAAAGGGAAAGTAGCTTGCCAAATTTCTGTGGGGTGTCAGAGGTACAACATAGTAAAAACCAGTGGCAAAACAGAAGCATTTAGAATAGTGAACATGGATGGACAAATAGTTGCCGAGGTAATTATCCAATATCCATCTTTTACTAATATGATTTTCCAATCATATAATCGAGTAATTAATTAATTGATTGAATTTGTAACTTGGTATTAATGTTAATTTTGAAAATTGTGCAGGCAAAGCAAAAACACTCACCCTCAGGAGTTGTACTGAGTAACGATGTTCTAACGTTGGATTTGGCTGCCGGCACAGATCATTCCCTTGTAATGGCTTTAGTGACGGTGTATGGATTGATATTCGGCATAATGTAAATAATGTCCATAACATGAGATACACACAATTTATTCGGAGACTGATATATTCAGCACACATTGGTTCACTACCTTTGTGCCTGATTATTGTGTTGTTCCCATCGTTCACTGTAAATTTTCTGAGTGACAAGTTTTGTAATCAGAATTTTGCTTAGTTTGTATAAAGATATATCTATGTACACATATTATTAATTAATTGTTTACAGAGGAAACAGGATACAATTTATTGTACATTCGATCTTTGGAAATTTTACCCTGCAAATGTTTAGCTTTTTATTTTATATTTTAAATATATATTTAATGAAAATTAAACTAGTTTTCATTATATGTAAAGACTTTATAATAACTAACAATGATAGAGAACCACACAAATCTACCTCCATAAATATGCCAGCCACAAATTTGTACCTCTTCCATGGCCCCATATATTAAGCATGGAGACAAGACAAGACATAGTGGGGATGTTATTTGTCCTCGCTGCCCCTGTTGAAGATAGGGGTGGGTTTGGGGAGGTGAGGGCAGAAAATGACATTTCATCTTTCCCACCACAGTGTAGAATTTTACAACCAACTTGTTTCCATAATTTTATGCATACGTAATGAAATCGAAATACTAGTTTTAGCTCAGTATACTCAAAATCTATATGTTTTTGGAATTCAAGTTAAATATACTATTAATCAAATTGTATAATATTATATATATTATAACTATTAACTTTTATAATTTTAAAAGTTATATTTAAAATATTGAATAACATTGTAATTTTCTTATACTAATTAGTATTTTAATTTGTATAATGCATAATATTAATTATTTTTTACATAACTAAAATGTATAATAAATAAATATTTTAAATATTTAAATTATATTTTAGATTTATGATTAATAATTTATATAGTAATACAACTATATAAGATTATTTATAGTAGTATTGGAATTCAATTTAAAAATAATGATGAAAATGATAGATTAAAAAAGATAAATAGTTAAGAAAATCAAGTACATGTATAAGGATCAAAGGATTTTATTTGATATCGTTGACATTTTTTTTTTTGGGATAGTTGTAGAGATAGCCGGGAAAAAAAATATTAAGATTGTTTAATTGAGTAAGGAATCATAATTAAGTTGTGTATTCTTATTTATAATTAATGTAGGAATAAATTAAGTTTGACCAAGACTATAATAGTAATCTTAAAGTTTAGTTTATTTTTAAAAATATATCAAATTTGATACAATGTATATATTAAGTTTTAAAACAAGTAAATTTTTAAATTAAAATTAAGAAATATATTTTTAAAAAAATAAAAATAACTTAAAATATTCAATATACAAAATTAAGATTATTAGACATGTTTGTAAGAATCTTTAAAATGCTCTTATTCGATAATGATTTCTAAAAGCTCTTTACTCTTAAAAATACACTTATTACTAGCCTAAGATGACGATATTATGTTGAAGAGTTAAGTTCTAAAGGAGTGAAGAAAAATGAATTAGGCTCAAAGAAAGAAGGTTTAAGTTTTTATTGAATTTTGAGTCATTTTAGTGGTTTATTTTTCTCTTATTTGTGTATTTTTTTTTATAAGTATTTTTTTAATTTTGATCTTGTATTTTTGAGTCAAATAATGTAAAAAAAAAATTCTTATGATTTTTATTTTTTAGGAGCATATATAATATTTTACGGGGTGTAACTAGAAAATGAAATATGAGCTTGTTGAACTTGAATTAACTCATGGAAACGTCTTGGACGTAAGGTCCAAGCATTTGGACGTCCACTTCTAGGGGACAAGGTGCTCCATAGTCAATTCAAACTTCAATTAGTCACATGTGTCACACCTAATCATATTTTTATCACCTTATTATATGACAAATCCATATTGATTTTTCTATATTTAGGATGTTTTATTGGGAAAAACCCAAGTCCCACATCGACTAGAGATTAGGCAATTAAATAGTATATAAGTGGAAAGCACCCCTCCCCATACAAGCCGGTTTTGTAGGATTGAGTTAGGCTTAATCCACTATTCTAACATGGTATCAGAGCTATCCTAGATTCTTAAAAATGGGCCACCCACCATTCATTGATACATGCACCATGGGCATGAGGGGTGTATTCAAGTCTCCTCATTAAAAAAGGGCCACCTACTATTCATTGATACATGCACCATGGGCATGAGGGGATGTATTTCAAGTCCTGCCAATCCTAGATCATTAAAAAAGGGCCACCTACCATTTATCCACGTACCAAGCCTAATAGTGCTGGACGTGAGGGGGGCGTATTGGGAAAAACCCAAGTCCCACATCGACTAGAGATTAGGCAATTAAATAGTATATAAGTGGAAAGCAACCCTCACCATACAAGCCGGTTTTGTAGGATTGAGTTAGGCTTAATCCACTATTCTAACATGACATGAGTCATACACTTATTATGTTCAATTAGTCACATGTGTCACATCTAATCATATTTTTATCACCTTATTATAAGACAAATCCATATTGATTTTTCTATATTTAGGATGTTGACATGAGTCATACACTTATTATGTTCTACCATATGATAACGTTCTGTTAACTCTTCTAGATTTAGGATGATGATGATTTTAAAAGAAAAAATCGAAATTCAATTATAATTGGATTAATAGTTTTGAGTACAAGTTAACTTGTAGTCTATGTTAACTTAACTTACATCACAAACTACTTAATCTGATATATACCTGTTCCTTCCATATGATTGAACATTTTTAAGTGATTCGAGAAATAATATTCAGATTTTCTCTTCCAAAAGTCTTAATCTCTTTCTTAAAGATTTTTCTTATAAATTTTTATTAGAGAATTTCTCCTTATAACACATTTTTAACCATTCCGGCTTATCTTCTTTGAAGTGATGCAATTTCTCTCCTTTCTTTTCCATCATTTGGGTTTTTCTTTGAAGGCTTCAAGTTTATAGAAGAAGCTTGTGAGTACATTAGAACTAGTTGAAGAAAAATTACAATCATCTCTTCCACTAATTTCATCATAAGAGACTTAATTTAATGAATAATCCATGTTAATTTATAATATAGGAAATGATTCGAATTTATAACGGGGAAGTAATATATGAAAGTTAAAGTAAAATTTTGAAGTGAATATATAAATTATTTGTAACAATATTCAGTGGCTCGATGGTCCAAATTTGTCAACAACGTACACGAGGGTTTCACGTTAAAAGTGTTTAAGATAAAAACAAGATAGTTGAATTCAACATATCTTCCTGAACCCTAACCACTAGGCAGGTGAGTAATCGTTTTCAGTTCAAACAGCTGTGTTTCCATTCTCCATGTCAGCAAATTAAGCTGTAATTGTATATGCAAGAGCATTCGTGTGGTCCCAGATGCTTCAAAATATCAATCCCCGTTCCACAGTCATCGTTAGTATGCTCAGTTTGCACAACAATGTTCTTCTTAATTGATTTCCATTTGTTGGGATGCAAGTAAAGTCCCACATCGTTCAAACAAGAAGATGAACATGAATTTCTATATACACAGTTGTTTTCATTGGTTGGGAGGCCTTTTGGGTGATGTCCAAAAGTAAAACCGTGAGAGTTTAGGCTCAAAACGGACAAGAGGAAGCATTAGAATATTTCTGTTGAGTCATTTCATTATTATTAAATTAATTATATGATCATACACTCCACGTGAAAATTTTTATGCAAATGAAAGAGTATATATGTATCCTTATTCAACTCATTGTTATTAAATGGGGTTTCTTTTCTCTTTCTTGCCGTTACATAAAAAAATGGGAAAGAAATTAAACAAATATGAAAACATAAATTCAAAGTTATTCTATGGTTAATGCCGTATTAGATCACTACATTAATTAGTTAATTTTAGCTCCTCTTTCGTTATTGTCATTTGTTTTCCGCAGAACATGGCAACTGCAATGATGCAGCATGTGGCACATAATATGCCTCAGAATTATATCAAGTATCAACATACCAGTTGTAATAATTTCTCCTTTCTATTTGACGTATTGTTAATGCATATATAAACATATAAACATGTGTATGTCCGGATAATGTTTCTTCCGTTTTCGGTGGGAAACATCTATAAATACATCATTAAATTTTTTTGGCAGATTAATTAGTACAAGAATTTAGTATATAGTGAATAGTCTAGTCACGATAAATGGTTAAGATAGAGGTTGAGAGACTCGTTAATGGTAAAAATTCAAGCTTATTATTTAGGGAAGAACTTATAAGTTTTTTAATTACTATTTTAAGACTTCAAATCAATATTAGTCAAATCTAAGACAAAACTTTACTGATAATTTTGAAGAATGGGATATTTGTAGTATTGAAAGAATGAAAAATGATTTATGGCAAAAGGGAGTATTAACAAGATCGAAGGAAATGTTTCACGATATTACGAAAACATTATATTAATTTGAGATCTAATCTAATGTAATTTATCAAAAAAAAAAATTCTTACTTTTTAATTAGAGTGGAAAGTTATCGATTAATTACAACATTTTTACTTAACAAAAATGTGGATAATCCGCTTATAATTCAATCAGCTGATATCTATAGTCATACACTATTAGTATATACTATTTCACGCCCTCACTCAATAGACTATAAGATTTAAATGTTTCGATTCCCTTTTTTGTATGTCCTCATCTAATAAATGACAAGATAAAATAGAAAACAACAATAATAATAAGCCAAATGTCCACTGGCAATTAGACTAGATTATTGGAATATTTGAGAAACATATAATGCATCATGTCTGTCTCATTTTTTTTACATAAAAATAAAAATAGTGAAATAACATATGAATGTGATGAGTTACAAAACTTTAACAAATTTATCTGTTTAAATATGTCTTTAATTTCTTAAATTTAAAATAAATTTATTTTTAGTTTCTCAAATTTAAAAATTAATTTTTTTAGTTTTTGCATTTTTTTTAAAATTATTTTTGTCTTTATACTAATTTTTTTTAAAGAATATGTGAATATTATGTCTCTATTAATGAAAATATAATTTAAACTTAGTTGATATTACAAATTGTCTCAATTTATTACTTTCATATGTTATTATAGTAACTTGAGAAATTGAAACAAGATTATTAAAAATTATAAGGACTAAAAAGGTAATTTTAAATTTGAGAAACAAAAAATATTTATATTAAACTTAATAAATTAAAAACATATATAAATATTTATCATATATATATGGATTTGAGTGCAATATAAGTAAAATGCATGAACTATTTATTTATTTATGGTTTGATCAAATAAATACTAAAACATGTTTAATATAGGTAAATTGTACCAATAATGTGTTATGTCCAAAAAAGCACACATCTCATAAAGAAGGCGAGAATGAGAGAAAAAGTTGGTTTCATGAATTTTGGTTTAGAGATATATGCATGTTTATCTTTCCATGGTAGAATCGTGGTGCAAGACATACACATTATTGAGAATGAGAACCAAGCTATAGCTATTGTTCAATGTCACTCTACACTGCATACTTATATTGAGATGTACAATTATTCTATACACCGCACATTGCCATAACACTTTTGCACGCTTTTATTTTAAAAATCCATGACGTCTGCGAATATACTTATATTCGATCTATAAAAAAATTATTTTTGTTTGAAGATCAGAGATCTAAAAAGAATAACTAAGTTATAAATGAAATAAATAAATAGACTTTAAATTTTATAGATTTGAAAACATAAATTTAAATAAATGGTTAAGTTCAAGTAATTTTTTAGGAGTCAAACATAAATTCTAAACTGTTAATTAACTTATTTTTATAATTGATAGAGAATATATTTTTGTTTGCCGAAAAATAAAATTTATATAAAAGTATTACATGAACATGTTATCTTATTTTTTTATGATTTCATTTTATTTAACAAAATTATTTAAAATAAAATAGTTAAAATTAATAATATTTTAGTTTTTTGAAATGACAAATAATTTAAAATAAATTAATGTATTTAAACTTATCATTTTTGAAGATGACAACCTCATTCATATCTCTTTAAGAATGATATTCTTGTTGGAGTTCAAGTGTAAAGTGAATCTCATATTAACTAAAGTTAAACATGTTGAATAATATATAAGTGAGAAAGACCATCTATCTAATGTCTTATGATTTTGGGTTGAAATGTGGTGTCAAATCTACTTGTGTGATTTACTCACTATCCATTGGTGAAGTGCTCTCCAATATTTAACTCCCTTAACTCAATATTGGTATTAGAGTCGATGGTTCGACTAAGTGATTGAGTAATGAAATTAGTTGTGTTGAGTTCAAATGTGAAAGTGAGTCATGTTAAGTAAGAGTTATATATGTTGAGTAGTAAGCAAGAATGACCTACCTACCTTATGTTTTAAGATTTTAGGTGATGATGTGATGTCAAATTCACTTATGTGATTTACATGTTGAATAAAAGTTGAATACATTAAATAATGTATGAGTAAGAATGACTTATTTACTTAATATCTTAAAATTTAAGCTGATGATGTAATGTAAAACATACATATGTGATTTATTTATTACTCATGGATAAAGTGCTCTCTAATATTTAACTCTCTTGACCAACAATTTTTTCTTCTTCATATTTATTGAAAGAATATTATAATTGTATTTTCTAATAATTTGGTCACCTCCTGAATGATATTTTTTTATTAAAAAAATATAATTCCTCCCTAAATTTATATTACTTTATTTCCTTCACCCAAATATTTCCCTTTTAAATCCAAGATACGGTCATTTTCATTCTTTTAATCATTATTCGGATATTCTCGTAGCATAATTGAGATTAATTTTCAGAATGAGTAATAATTAAGCAAAGTTTAATAACCCCAATTTCAATTACTGAATATAAATGCCAAAACAAAGTGTGCACATTATCTATAACAAAAATAAAGGCAATATGTTGAATATAAGAAATGCTCATTTGTATTATATCATAATATTTCAGTTGAAGGATACAATAAAAGAATATGTATATAAATCCATAAGGAAAAAAAAAAAAAAAAAAAAAACAAAAAAAAAAAAAAAAAAAAAAAAAAAAAAAACCCAATACAATCAAGTAACTGATGAGCACTATTGGTAACTAAAAAGCACTTAAAACATCACAAACTACCATGATAACTCTGTAAAATGGTACCCTTATTATGGCACACATTTACATTCAGATGGGTGAGAGAAGAAAAAGGCTAAGAACTCATATATGTTGCCAGTGTACACATTAATTTATTCACCTTATACTATCATGAACATGTCATTGGGCCTTGCGGCCATTCTTGAGATTTCGTACAGTCATTACAAGCTTCTGTCTTTCACCTTCTACCTCCGCAAATTTGAGACTCATTTCTGAGTATCTTTGTTGTAACTCTTTCAGCTCCGTTTCCATTGAGTTGTTTCTTTCCTTCAACAACGATAATTCGGCTAAAGTCTCACTAAGGTTGCCATTACTGCCATAGACAGAAATTGATCAATAATGAAACATTAAAATAGCTTTGATTCGCAAGTTTACACGTAAGTGTAGCATGGACAAACTAAGTAGTCACAACTGGTACTAAACTACGTGTACTTAATGTTATAGGGAAAGATAAAGGGCACACCTATTGAACAGTGAAACTGCAACACCATTTCCTTCTGACACGCGTGTAGTGTCATTTGAAGTAGTAATACTCTTATCCTCAACAACCTGTTTGAAGCGTAAGCCAATTATATTTATTGCTTATATACGATTCAATATCGTCATAGACCAACAATGCAATAACAATAACTTTATTCAGGCAATGAAGGCTTGTAATTTAAACTTTATACAACCAAAAATAGTTTAAATGTTCTTATTTCCATCATTTATCAATGCATTTTAATGGATATGTCATGCCAATTGACACTTAGAGGCTCAATTTTTTTCTATTGAAGTTGCAAATTGCTAGAACATTGTGCTATATATTAATTAGTATACCTTTTGCAAAGAAATGCTTTGATTGAATTCCTCCACTTTGTCTTCCAGTTCCTCAATTTTGGATTGGAGCTCCCTTTCCTTGTCCAAAAATGAAGAAGCTGACATTTCCAAAGCATTTTCCTTGGACCTTATCATGCCCTGCCAGTGCCACAAACAACTCTTTATGTTTATATGCCCCCCTCAACTCCCAGAGCTAAACAAACTAAACTATCCTAAGAAAATGCAGAGGAATGAAAAATGATGTGTAGAGGAAGAAAATATCGACAAAAAAGTTAGCATTTGGGTATCAAGCATTTTTCTCAAAGGATCTTTCTCTTCAAACTACTGGAATTTGTGAACTTGTGAAGTGATTACCTCAAGAGTTTTTATTTTGTCCCTCAGACTTGCCATTTCTTTTGAATTCTGAGGAATTGAAGCACCTTTTTTGTTTTTCGAATTGGTTTTAGTTCCATCAGAGAGCTGTGCGCGTCCATTGCTATCCTTGAATCTCTTCTCAATGTTGCTTAATGCGTCATCCTTCTTCTTTAGTTCCCCTTTAAGCTCGAAAACTTGCTTCCTTAGATTTTCTTTTTCACTCTCATCCTCAATAAGAGAACTTTTCAAGTCACTATATTGAACTCTAAGTGCTTCTAACTCTGACTGCAAGACTCTACCTGCCATCTCTTTCTCATCCTTGAGATGCTTCACCCTTCTTAGCTCATCAAGTGACCTTTCTGCTTCCTTCTTCAACAAAGCAATCGCACTCACCAGCTCATTTCTTTCCATCGTTCTACTCTGTAACCGAGCCTCAGATTCCTCAAATGATTTCTTCATAAGCTCCAAGTCATTTCTTAAGAGTTCTTTTTGTTCTACTTGCTCAGAGAGGCCTGAAATCTCCACTTTAAGCCTTTCATTTTCAGCTTTTAGCATCTGGATCTCTTCAGAGAAGTCCCTACTAACTTGTTCCTCATGCTTCTTCTGATTTTCAAGCTGCTTTGACTTGTCCTCAATTTCCAACAACATCTGTTGTTTCCGAGCTGTCATCAAGTCTATTTTGTTGGAAAGTTCATTCAGTTTTACCTCATAATCAGCTTTGGCTGACTGAAGCTCTTTATTGACCTTGTGCAGCATTTCTTCCACTAGCCTTTTCTGCACACGAAGTTCACTTGCTTCTGTCAATGCTCTCATGGTAGCCTTCTCATTGGCCTCAAACGTAGAGGCCATTTGCGTCGAGAGCCTTCTAAATTCTTCTTGGAGCCTCTCTGCAGTGTTAGCATTTTTATGTCTAGTGTTTCGTAAAGCTTCTTCTGCGCGGATGGCTCTTTGCTCCTGCTCAACTTTTTCACGTGTCACAGTGTCTAGATCAGCTTCAAATCCCTGGGCTTGTTTCTCCAGTTCCTCCTCTAATCTGCTGATTTGGGATTCAAGTTCCTTGATGGTAGCCAGAGAATTTGAGAATTCTTCTGATTGTTGCTTGAGTTGATTTTCCAGATTCTGAATATGGGATTCAATGTGATCAACACCAGGAGGAGGAGATGAGCATTCATATTGCATTTTTAATTGTTCTTGCAGTTCACTTTGTTCCAGCTTATATGCAATGTCATGGTTTTCCTGTTTCAATATCTCATAGTCTAATGCAAGCTGCTCCATCTGCATCTCTAACTCGTCTTTATCTCTCCTATACATCTCTATTTCACCATAGAGATCTATAATCTTTTGCTCAAGTAAGTGAGTCTCCTTGGCATTGCTGTGCTCCTTAACAAGCTCCTCCAATTCTTTCTGTTCTTCGTCGTCATCCGTTTCACATTTAGAGAGGTTTCCCCCTAACTCATGGGAGTTTTTACCTTGTTCATGTTTATTTGAAAGACTACAAACTTTCCTATTTTTCTGCTCCAGCATTTCATCCAGGTCCTGCACAGCAAGAACTAGTTCAGCGTTAGATTCTTGAGTCTTCTTTAGCTGTAATTGTAGATTTGCATTCAGCTCCTTCTCATACTTCAATTCTTGTCTAATTTCTTCGACTAGAGTACAAAGATCCCCACTATCCAATTGTGGCCTCTTACTCACTTTGGAATCCTCCATTCGTTTGTGAAAAGATCTGAGACTCTCACATTCAACCTTGAGTGCATCTCTTTCCTCTTTCAAGCTAATGATTTCCTTTGAGAGCTCCTGTCCTCTTTTGCTTTCCTTTACAATTTGCTTTCTCAGAGTTTGTAGTTCCAAGTCTGACACATCGACCTGCCTTGCCAAAGCAGCAAGCTCAGCCTTGAGTCTTTCAATTTCCATATCAGATGCTTGAAGGGATCTTTCCCTAG